AGTTAGGGAACCAGATGAACTAAGCTCTGTGATATTGAGTGTTACAAGTAATAATAAGCACCAGAAAAGAAATAAAATGAAAACGATCAAACTAAAATCTTTAAATATAAAACAAAAGAAAAGCAGATAAGTAATAAGTCCTTGGAAAAACACTGCTCATTCGTACAACATTTTAAATATGTTTAATGCTAACATTGTTAGAACATTATTCCCTAATGTTCTTATAACATTTTCAGCAGGTAGTTTTCTTTTTGTTCCCAGAATGTTCTCTTAAAAGATGGCATAACATTCTCTAAGAACACTCTGAAAATGTTTTGCGATGACCTTCTATAAAGGTTTAATCATAACATTTTTAAAACATTATCCCCTAACTTTCTTATAAAGTTTTTAGCGGAAGTTAAAACTGTGTACAGTAAATGCCCAACATTACATGAAGAACTCAGTAAAGTCACTCATGCGTCTTGACTGCGGTGTTTGCTCAGAGCACTCATCATCAGTCTTTGCTTGGTTCTTGCAGAAGAATAATCCAGGAATCTGTATACTGTTCTCTCTTCTAGTTGTCCAGCTGCTCCCCCAGTTAGCAGCATTGAGCTCTGTTCTCTGTGTGCACAGTAAAGTTCATAGCCTAAAAAAGAAGATCATGCAAAAGTGTAAACATAAAGAATACACATACATTAAGATCACAAGCAATATTGACATTGAAAACTTTCAAAATTAGCCAGCCTAATTAGCAATCAGAAATTATGTAAAGACTAATTTATTGAAAGTATAAATATGATAAATTATGAGTATCTTTTTTGTTTCTGTAATTTAAAACATATACTTAATCCATATGTACAATATCTTAATCCAATAAAGTTTTAAAAATGGATAATTTTCTTACACAAATGCTTCGCTTCAAAAGGCCTTTACAACCCCGCTAGAGTCGTGTGGTGGATTACTTTTATCATGGATGGATGCGCCTTTATAGACGGCCATTCACTGTCATTCTAAAAGTCAGAATAGCCAGGACTTTTTTTTTTTAAATATAACTCCGATTGTATTCGTCTGAAAGAAAAATGTCGTATACTCCTAGGATGACTTGAGGGTGTGTAAATCATGGGCTAATTCTCATTTTTGGATGTCTTTTGGATGAGATCCTTTATAGTCTGTGTTAGGTGCTTTTAGCACTAAAGCTCTAGGAGTTAAGAGTTGAACATTTATGTCTCAGATATAATAATAATAATAATAATAATAATATTTAGTTTAAATAGGTTAACAATATGTTGGCTTTCTTAAACCAACAAAATTATTTCCTAACATTTGAACAAGATTACTATAATCTGTATCCTACTACAATGTAAAGGTAATTCTATGAAGATTTACAACAAAAGTTATAAAACCACTTACAAGGCTCTTTAGCTCCCATGTCCATTCACATCTGCAGGTTTATGTTTGCTTCAATAGTTGCCAGATTGTGTCCTTTACATGGAGCATCAGCACCAGAGTAATTACCTGAAATATTTGGTGTAAAAACATGGTCTGTCAACATAAAACGATATTACAAGCACAAACATTGCAAGAAACACAAATGACAGAAAATTGTTTTAGACTGAACGCTCTTTCCAATTCTTCCATTAACGTTACCTCTATATGAATTACTGAAATATTATTAACTTCTACTTTCAAAAGACATTAAGATCACTTTTAAGTAGCAAAAATACAGTATTCGTATGCATAGAACACAATACCGGTATTATAGTAGGCTACCTTGGTTGTAAATGGAGACTTTATTGTGTCATCGGTAACCTAATCATCTTGAAACAGGCAGTTTGGAGTGCATTAAAACAAATCTAGCTGTTATTCAAAAGTAGCATACACTCAGATTTATTGCGACTGTCATACAATTCTAAGAAAGTAGAAAGTTAGGTCTAATAGGGAAGAGCGGGGCACAACCTAACGCATTTTGGTTTTGGCTCAATTAATTAAAAAATAATTAGGTTAGATTAATACTTTTTTTACACAAGCAACATACACATCTCTGCTACAAATGACCACTTAAAGTTTTTTTCTAGGACCTACCATTTTCGTACAGTTGCACTGAAAGTGACAGAAGTGAAAATGTTACAACTTACCCCATATGCGGGGTTAATTGTAACAGACAGAGGGGTTAGTTGTAACACTTGCGTGTAACACACATAATTCAGTACTATTTTATTTGTATAGTTTGTTATTGTTTGTGCATCTGTATAGGTAGATATCCATACATCCATCCCTCATCCAATCATCCTTCTATTATGGATCAATATCATGGATAGAGACATAGAATGGGCTGCATAGTTTTGCAATAAATAATAATAAATACAATTATAAATAATGTAATTGCAATTTGTGTGTGGCAGCTGCATATGCAATTATTGTTTTCCTTAGGATTATTATTAGGGCCCAAGCCCTGAAAGGGCGAAGGCCCTATTGTTTTCCTTAGGATTATTATTATTATTAGGGCCCAAGCCCTGAAAGGGCGAAGGCCCTATTGTTTTCCTTAGGATTATTATTATTATTAGGGCCCAAGCCCTGATAGGGCGAAGGCCCTATTGTTTTCCTTAGGATTATTATTAGGGCCCAAGTAGTCTCAGCCTCAGACGTCACGCCCACGGAACGTTGATGCATATGGTACACTTAACTGGAAACACTTCAGGAATGTCGAAGTCGTCATCTGATTGGTTGAATTTTATCGAATTTCCGGGGGGCGTCAGTGTCGCGTTTATTTTCGGTCCGCCGGGAAACAAAGCGCAGATTTGTGATTGCGGAAAAAAAACTGTTGTGTTTATATGAGTGACCTATGTGAGTTACAATGAGCATTAATCAAGATCAGCTAAACGTAGTTGTATGTCCCCTCCTATCTATTATGGAAGATCAAGTGAAGTACTTAATTGCGAAGGGGATATCAGCCGCGTTTGTGGGCAAACATGAAATAACAGACGCTGACATCGCAGCTGGCCCATTCAGTATTCATAAATAAGGCGCACACTGGATTATAAGGCGCATAAGATACTGCAGAGTCAAACGTTTGACTGGGTTTGTGTTATGCATCCACTAGATGTGCTAAACTAAAGGCTAAAGGGAATGTAGCGAGTGCGCGGCGCCGGAGGTGAGGCGTTTATTTAGTAGGCGTGAGCGTGCTGGGGCGGGGACGTAACTTACATTCGCAGCCTGACTCATTTGAGTATTCAATGTGCGGCGGCTCGCTGCCAGCTAACGTTACAGTTGGCTGTTTTGAATGAGACGAGCCAGTTACTGTGAACGGGGAGCGCTTTATGAACATAACTGTGACGCACGAGCAGCGCCGGGGACGGTGTGTCTGTTAAGAGTAAGCGCTCGTGAGCGGGCATGTGATTTACACACATAACCTGATTTATTCAAGGTTGAACTGGCCATGTGAGAAAGCGGGCATAAGATGGACATGGGCGCGAGTTCATGGGTGAATTTAAAGGCTGAAAGGTCGCCTGAAAGGGCGAAGGCCCTATTGTTTTCCTTAGGATTATTATTATTAGGTAGGGGTGTGCAAAAAAATCGATTCACATTTGAATCGCGATTCAATCTTTACCGATTCATAATCGATTAATAGAATTCCAAAAATCGATTTATATAGGCTATATTTTTTAATGGCGTGCAGGGGCGGAGTGGCAATCGGGTGAGTCGGGACTTTTACCGGTGGTCCGGTAGTGTTTCTATGGTTTCGAGGCTGCAAGGGCCGGTCTGATAAATAGTTATTGCAAGTTCTTGCCGCCCGCTGGTCAAACTGTGCAGCCCGTAAATAAATGCATCGGTCCGCAGATCTTATGTTTGAGTTCTGTAGATCTTTTGCCAAGCGTGTCAGAGGTTACGGGTTCTAAACCGCACTCGTATAGTTTTTTTCTCTCTCTCATCAAAACCGAATATGTTCATCACGTTTGTGTGCATTTTATTTTGTGATTTCACCGGAGTCTCCACAACGGCGATAGATTGAAGCGCGCGTCCGAGAGAAGACTGTGCGAGCCACAGAGAACACTGTATCCATGACACTGATCGCAGCGGACACGAGCGCTCAGCTTGATTTCAAAAACAACAGGTCTCTTATTTAATAGCGAACTAAATGAATGCTCTGCTAGTTAACTGGAGATACCCGCAAATTACGCGCATATGAACGACTTCACTGGATCTAAACAAATCAATCTAACCATAGATGTTACCAGTAGCGGTGGCTTTTTTAAATCTATTTAAAATATTTTCGCAAGGGTTCTATGAAATTAGTATATATTTTTAGGAAGTTCAATGTGCCCAGTCGAGTTCACATTTCAAAGGTCAACCTGGTAGCTGAAGTAGGCCTATTCCTTAAACCACATTTAGCATTTGTTTGATCTGACTACAGCACTTTAAAGCTAAATGTAAAAGCTTTTTATTTAAGTTTTATTTTAAACTTGAATTAAATGTATTTAAAAGCTGGCCAAAGCTTGGCACTTAGCACTTTTTAGTTGCAAAAGTTTTTATTTTTGTATGAAGACATATAAAGTAATATCAAACTTTTCTTTTAAATTATGTCTACTGCAATCAATCACATAGGAAAAAGTAAACTACATTTATATAGACCTGCGAATCGTTTTTTGAATCGAGAATCGTTTTTGAATCGAAAAATCGATTTTGAATCGAATCTCGAGACAAAAAAAATCGAATTGTGAGATTTTCTGAATCGTGCACCCCTAGTTGTTGGTGTGATTGCTTATGCAGATCTAGTGTATGCTGTGAGTATTAAACACACACACACACACACACACATATCAGGGTTTAGTTTTAATTAACTATGATAACCATAACACAAATACAGAAATATGGATCAATCACAGTTTAAAGGTTGCACTTAAGTAAATACATGCATGGTTGTGCAATGTGCATATACAAATGCACAGAATAGATAAATAAAAAGTGTATTTATTTAAAGGTTGGTGGTTTTGATGGAACCAGTTATTTGCGGAGTACAGAGGTCTACAATCCGCTGACAAACAATTGGCATGCCGTGGCATCAATGTACAATCCAAGCAGCAACTTTGGCATTGAGGTGAGATGTGGTCAGTTAATATCTGTCTCTGGTGAAACTATGAAATAACTTACTTTACAAAAATGATTTGATGATAATGAATATGGGGGAAAATGTATTTGGTCCCATATTGACAATAATTGCACCCTAAAATTGTCTTAAAAGTCAACGATCAAAGCCTTCAAATATCAATGTGTGTCAAAACATTCTAATGATATTTAAAGGGATACTCCACTTTTTTTGGAAATAGGCTCATTTTACAACTCCCCCATAGTTAAACAGTTGAGTTTGACCGTTTTCGAATTGATTCAGCCGATTTTATGATATTTAAAAGAATATCAGTAACCAGACAGTTTCTGGTCTCATTGACTTCCACAGTATTTTTTCCTACTATGGAACTACTACTACTACTACTACTATTTTTTTCCTACTATGAGTATCCCTTGAAGTATCGCTTGTAAATGAAGCGTTGCATCTATAATGAGATTTATTAATGTAAATTTAAAGACTTTAGCTGTACATTATGTATTTTCCAAGCGGCAACCTCCCCGTCTCTCTCTTGAAGCCAACACGGAAGTGAATTAAACTGCAATTTATCGAGTGGCCTGGCTGCAGAAGCGAGTCAAATCTGTATCTCCCCCATGTTAAAATGCCCAACTTTACAGCAGAAAAAAACATGTTTACAGCCTGGAGCAAAAAGTGGCTTGGGTCTATAGAGCGCATTTTTCCCTTCATGACAACTGTGAGGGGGGTGATTTTTTTTTATAACTCATCCGTTTAAATAATATTAAGCCTTCATTTTCTGCATAATTAAGGGTGTGTCCAATTTTGAGTGACAGGTGGATTCCCGCTGCTGTGGTCGTTAGTAATCTTCCGCTTGCTGTCTGTCACGTTACCTCAGCTAATTTTTCTGACTGTAAAAATAAATTAATTTTAGCCACTAAACCTGGCATCTCTGCCGTGTTTGCGATTTTTCGGGATTATTTCACAATTATAAAGTCTTGCAGTGGTGTTAATTGTATTAACAGACCGTCCAAGAAGCTTGGGCTTGTTAACTTAGTCATCATTAGCCGCTTGCCTGCTGTCTGTCACATTACCTCAGCTAACATTAATTGTCTGACTGTAAAATTAATCAATTTTAGCCATTAAACTTGGCATCTCTGCCGTGTTTGAGATTTTTCGGGATTATTTCACAATTATAATGTCTTGCAGTGGTGTTAATTGTATTAACAGACCGTCCAAGAAGCTTGGACTCCATTTTTTCCGGTGAGTGAAATTTTAATATCATTTCGTCGTATTCATTTTTTTTCTAATTATTTATTTATTATTTATAATTGTATTTAAAACTTCATTACATTACAGAATCCAACAGACTGTGATTAGCTGTAGGCTTAAACCATAGACTGTATAAAACGTCTGAAACGTTGTCATATAACTATGCCTACATTTCATAAATTGCGTAGCATTTATTAACATGCACTAACTATATTGGAGGTATTTTTTTGACATGTCCTCAAAGATATGTGTACAACATTTTAAGCTAAATACATTTATTACAACCTTGGACTTTAAGTCATATTTTTTTAAGTAATTTAAGTCATATTGTTTGCATGTACAATAGTCTGTGAAGGAGGTAACTATCTATTTGTTTGTGTAAAGTTTTCCTCTAGGTGATCCAGATCATCTCAGGCTGGACCAGTGGATGCTCAACATGAAACGACAGAATTGGACTCCTAACAAGGATTCTCGTCTGGGAGTTCGCGCCAAGATGGCGTCTGAGTAGCTGAATCGTTTCTGTCTCGCATAAACTTTTGTGCAAAACTTAGTCTATTTTTTCCTTCCGTGATTTTTGCTTTGCTTCTACAATTGTCTGTATGTTTTGAATGATGCTACGACATTTTTAAGCTGGAATTGAGAATAATTGCCTTCTGAGACTGTTGAACATCTGTCGTGGCCTGCCGAGTGCATTGACTGAAACTCACGTTGCTGAAACATAACCTGAGATAAATGGAAGAAATGGCGGAAAGTGTGAAGCCGAAGCGTGTGCACGATTATGCTAAACTCACCCCCGAAGTCGAAGATGATCTAAGCATGGATTGTTTGCAATCTTCAGACACCCCGATTAACAGCCCTCTTCCGAAGATTCGACGGCAGGTATCTGAGCCTTTAAATTCGGAAATACTAAATGATATACTGAAGGCGATTGAGAGGTTGGGAAAAAAGCAAGATGATTTCATGGAGAAGCTACTGGAAATTGAAAGGTCCGTTACATCCAATTCGACCATGATATCCCAACTCACCACCAAGGTTGATTCAGTTGCCGACAAAACGGAGAGGGCTGTAGCTAAAACTAACGAACTAGGTGTTCAAGTAGCGGCTGTGGTCACTGAAAACAAACAACTGTGGGAAAAAGTCGACGAACTGGAGGCATATAAAAGACGGTGGAATCTGAAAATGTCTGGTGTTCCGGAGGAAGCAGGAGAAAACGTTAAAATGATCGCAATGGATATTGTTTCCCGAATCTCGCCAGGATTGAGAGACGTTCTTCAGACGTCCATTGATGTTGCACACAGAGTCGGTCCGAAAACAGGAGGCGCGAGTCCACGCAGGATTATTGTGCAGTTTTTGTCATGCACTCATCGGGATCGCATCTGGATGGATGCGAAAAACTCTGAAGTTCTCAAACAGAAAGGCATCAAAATAACAGAAGATCTGACACAACGGGCGAGGGACGCACGGAATAAACTGTGGCCGCTGGTAAGTCAAGCCAGGAAAGATGGAAAACGAGCTGGGTTCAAGGGATCGGTTGCCATTATTGATGGAAAGAAGATTACAGCGGACAATATGTGAATCATGTTAACGTTTCCTTTTGGTCCCAAAAAGGGTCATTGAACCTCTGATACAAGTAGGTCGATGGATGTAACCTTTGCAAGGTGTCCTTTTTGTTCTCTCATGTCATTTCCTTGGCCTATTAACGTTAATATTTTTTATAGGTTTGATATTATCTAAGCCATTTGATGCTTGGTGTGGAAGGTTAAAGAGATAAGTTTTGCACTTTGTTCCTTCTCGCATACTTAACTCGTTTGCCCTGTAGGGCAGATTGTTCCTTTTTTGTTTTCTATTCCTAAATGTCTTTTAACTTTTCTTGTTTTTCTCTTAATGTTCGGGGGATTCGCGATCTTACTAAACGAAAAGCTTTATTTTTATTTTGTAATTCTAAAAAAAGAGATGTTTATTTTCTACAAGAAACTCATTCTAGTGTTAATGATGAGTCTTTTTGGTCAGCACAGTGGGGAGGCAAAACTTTATTTTCACATGGGTCTACTCACTCAGGGGGAGTTGTAATTTTATTTAACCATAATTTTAGTGGTAAAATTCTGGAGTCACACTTCTCCTTAGAGGGTAGGTGGATAATGACTGTTGTTCAGTCTGGAGATGCTGTTGTTATCTTATGTAATGTATATGGCTTTAATAGCTCTAACTTAAACCATATTCTTTTCCAATCTTTATCGACAAAATTACTTGCCTTAAAGTCGAAGTTTCCTTCAGCAGCATTTATTGTGGGAGGGGATTTTAATGAAGCCCCTGATCTGCACTTGGATAGATTCCCCCCAAGACTTAATGTTAATTCTCTTAATTTAGTAATAAATGATTTTTGTAGCAGGCTCTCTTTGTTGGATGCTTACAGACACGTCCATGGAAACAGTACCTCGTCATTTACATGGTTTAAAGCAGACATGTCACAAAAATCTAGAATAGACCTTTGGCTTATATCTGACTGCCTAGTTTCTTTTAATAGCTCCTGTACAATTTCTCCTGCCCCTCTAACTGATCATGCATGTATCAATCTTGAAATATCTGAAGCTCGTAACAGTTTTCAGAGGCGACCAGGATACTGGAAGATGAATACTTCGTTTCTGCAACTTCCTTCATATTGCTCAGGCATTAAGAATATTATCGAGAAATGTAAACTTAATTCAGACTCTGCTATTGCAAAGTGGGAATTTTTTAAATATGAGTGCCGAAAATTTTCTATACAGTTTGGTAAACGACTCTCTAAGGCAAAGGAGTCGAGAAGCTCTGCGATCATAAAGGAAATAAATAATATTTTATGTCTGTCATCTCCCAGTGAACAGGACAGGGAGAAGTTGTATTTATTGAAGGAAGACCTTGATGTTCTTTATGCAGAAAAGGCCAAAGGTGCATTCATCAGATCAAGAGCAAAATGGCTAGAATTTGGAGAAAAGAACTCTACATATTTTTTTAATTTAGAAAAAAGAAGAGGCGAGTTAAAAAGGATCTCAACCCTTAATATTAATGGTAATCTCACTTCTGATGAAGGCAAAATTTCAAAATTTGTATCTGACTTTTATCAACGACTTTATACTTCTTCATTTCATTCTGAATTTTCAAATACTTTTTTTTTGGAGGTGGATCCTTTTATTTCATCTATAAGTGTAGATAGTCAAGCTGTTTGTGAGGGAGAGATAACTATGGAAGAACTAGACGTTCTAATTACAAAGACCCCACTCAATAAGAGTCCGGGTCCTGATGGGTTACCATTTGAATTTTATCGATCATTTTGGAATGATATAAAAGTTTTAATTTTAGATGTTTTTAAAGAATGTTTAGATCGAGGGGAACTATCTGCATCGATGAAACAAGGTCTTATTACCTTAGTTCCTAAACCAAATAAAGATAAATTGTTTTTAGACAATTGGCGCCCTATAACGTTGCTTAATTCTGATTACAAAATATTAGCTGCAGTTTATGCTAGGAGACTAAAACCCTGCTTAGAAGAAGTTATCTCACTCACACAATCTGGCTTCATGAAAGGTCGACACATTTCAAATAATATTCGTCTTGTTTTAGATCTTTTAGATTATTCTGAGTTAGTTAATGATGATGCACTTATTTTGTTTTTAGATTTCTACAAGGCATTTGATACAGTAGAGCACACCTTTATGTATGATGCATTAGGACGATTCGGCTTCGGTCCAAAATTTATGAAAACTGTTCAG